TAAAATATAATTTTAGGTTGTGATGAAATTGTTTTAAATTTGTAGGATTGTTATGTGATTTACAAAAGTATATGGGGGCTTGAGAATAAATAAAATAGGTACAAGGGGTACGAAGGGTATAATAGGAATTTACAAGTACGAGGGGTACGAGAGAGAGTACAAGACTACCAAAATTCTTTTTTCCCTTGTACCCTTCAATCCATCGTTCATTGTCATATCTTAGTCAATCCAACGGTGAAAAGGGGGGTTACCTGATGTTAGATAGGTACAACCATGACCTGACTGTAGAAGATCCCTACTTAGTATTTAATTTCAACTTTTAGAGATTTTTTAAAACTTTCAGAATTCTGGTGTATTCAATTAGAACTTTCAGAGACTTCTGAAAAATTTACATGTATTGAATTGTGACTTTTAAGGACTTTTAATAAGTCTCTAAATGGCTCAGTGTATTCAATTATAACTTTATGAGAGTATTTATAAGTCACTTAGTATTCAAAACAGAAAAACTTTATGAGACTTTCAAAATTATGAGACTTTTAGAGACTTTTCTAACACGACTTTGTATCTCATATCACTTTCATGCTCTACTATTTTACTTGTTTATTTTGATACCTTGTATAATTTTTATTTTCATTACATATATTAATGTGATCTTTTATTTTATATATTCTTTATTACGCTCATTTTATGTGTGTATACTTTTATTCTCTCATTTTGTTATCTTTTGTATTTGACTTGGTTAATGCTTCCATAATTTGCACTTGTACATAATTTATTTGTTTCCTCTTTTTATTTGTAAATGTCTTTTTCAAAATAATAGTAAAAAAATTATTTTATTTTCAATTAGTTTATTTATTGATATTAAATTATTTTGAATATTATTGATAACTTTATAAGATACAATTACTGATTTCGGCAATACTTATATCTTGTAAAAATAAATCCTAACAATATTTTTCTAATGTAGCAACATTATGAAAAAATATATAAAAAATAAAATCAATCAATAATTAGATAAATATATTTTAATTTGGGTTGATTATAAGTGTCGTTGTAGCTGAGATGTCTAACACATATTTGAGCAAGTGCTCTTTTAACAAACATATATAAGGCCCTTCTCGAGTTCGACTCGTTGAAGCTCAGATCGATTTACTCGTTTAATAAATCTAAAATTCTAAACAATTTGTTCGTGAATAACTCATTCGCATAATAATGAGTTGATTCATAAATTTTTAGTGGATTAATATATACATCTTTTTTTTCATTTATTCTTTTTTAAATTAGTTATTATGCTACATTTATTAATAGTTTATTCAAACACAATATTATAACTACGAGTATATAAAAGTCTCAATAAGTTTAAAAAAGTCCGTTATAAAAGTCCTAAAAAGTCATTAATGACTATTCTCTGGAAGTCTCAAATAGTCTATCAAAATTATGAAAGTTCTACAAAATCCACAAAAGTCACCAAATTTAAAAAGTTTAAAAAAGTCCTTAAGAGTCTCAATTGAATATACCCCCACAGTTTCTACAGAAAATCCCACTAGTTTTACAGTTTCAACAGTGCCAACAACTCCAACTCATTCCCTCTATAATTCCCCTATAAAAGATTATTTCAAGCATATTATGTTAAAATTATATTAGTTTATTAAATAATCTCTACAAATTACTTGCTAAAATTTACATATTTATGTATATATATTAATTATTAATTAATATAAATTTAATCAAAACCATAAAATTACACAGTACATCACAAACCACGAGGATTTCATCACTAACATTAATTTTAAAAGAAATCAACACAAACATTAATTCAATACAAGAAGAACTACGGAAAACAAAATACAACATTAGTTATTGCCATGAGAATATTTTTCCCACAAATGTGCGACCAATGTGTTACGAAGTTCATAGTGGACAGACTTATCCTTGATTCTTTTGTGTCGAGCAAGAAATTGTTGATAAGAGACGTGATCTCGCGGTGCTGGAGTAACTGTAGGAGCACCAAATTTAACATCACTTATTATTGGTGCACTAAGATCAAGTTGCTCTTCGACATTCATATTGTGCAAAATAATACATGCTTTTATTATATCATTAAGCACCTCTTTTTATCCAAAAACGAACTGGACCCGCGACAATTGCAAACCTTTTTTTGCAGAAATCCAAATGCACGCTCAACATCTTTTGCCTCTTGACTTATTTTAAAGTATTCCTCCATTGGGTTTGATGGTGCAACAAATGACTGAACAATAGTGGACCATTTTGAATATATATCATTGCTAAATAATAGCTTATATTAAATTGTTTACCTTGAATGGTATAATTAGTTGGTGGAGCGATACCTTCAACAAAATTTGACATTAGAGGTGATGTTTCCAGCACATTAATATCATTATTGGCACCTGGCATACCAAAATATGCGTGCCATATCCATAGATCATAATCTGCCACAACTTCCCAAATGATTGTTGGTTTTCCGGAAGTCCAGAGTATTGACCAGCCCATG